TGCCGCTGAGCTAAATCCCCAGCCCCCAACAATGTAGTTTTTTTAGGTGCCTAAAATCTACTGCATTTAACTGTGTTAAGCTTTAGTGATATCATCAGCAGATTGGAATATATAATGAATCACAATGCTATGGAATTAGCTAAACCTAAACATGCTAATTTTTAATTAAGTTGTAAATACCTTCATGAAGAAATGTCATGTCTTTCTTGACAACAGGGAAGAGTGGAATAATTGGAGGCTGCATGCTTTGACTACTAAGAATATTTCTGTATTTTGCCATGTTTCTAGATGGATCAAAAAGGTCTTGCAGGTCTTGGAGATGTTTCTCATATTTGCTTGGTAACTTTTCCCAGGTACCTCTGAGCCGTGCTACAGGTGCCAGGTTCAAGCCACTGTCAGAGATGAGAATAGAACATTAAAAAGGGACCTGGGAGAGAAAGTGGACTCAAGTAAAATAAGTGCATACAGCAAGTTTTCTAATAATGCTGGAAACAGCAGGGATCTATCTTAACATGTTGAATAAACACAGAAAACTACAAAAAATACATTAAGAGAGACTCTGTAAGCTTAAAGTAGGGAGAACTTGTTTCCTTTCCAAAAAAACTGAATTACTTGCCTAAGCTACAGACCCACACAGCCTTTATTTTACAGTTTGCATTTAAGTGATACATGGAATGATTCTATAAAATAAACACGTAACTGAAAGAACTTTCAAGCATGAGAATGTTCTCTGTTTTACTCAGAAGTGACTTTACAGAAACAATACTCATTTAAAGGTGGTTTAAGTAATGCTGAGAACTGTTACTTACAGGCAGCATTTTTTTTCCTCTGAGATTTTGTCCAGTTATATCCCTGATTCCCAAACTTCCACATCCCTATGTTCCAATCCTGTTCCTTAAACCGCCAGATACTCACTGTCTCTTTTCCACAGGGCTTTAAACAAGCTCAGATAGTCACTAACTGGAAACAATAATTCATGACCATTAGGCTTTAATTAATCCCTATTTCTTTACTTCTACACTACTATCTGATGGGTACACTGGCAACTGAATTGTGTGTGTACGTATAAAATATGCCTGGATTTTCTTTTTCGTTAATCCTGCTTTGTTTTCAATCGTCTTTTACTCACACCACAATATTTAAAATATTTTCTTGACTTTTGATGTTAAACTGTGGATTTAAGGGCCTGGCGTAGTGGTGCACCCTGTAATCCCAGCACTTGAGAGGCTGAGGCAGGAAGATCATTGTGAGTTTGAGACCAGCCTGGGTTATAGTGAGTTCAAGGCTGGCCTGAACTGCAGATCACTTCCCCTGAGGGTAAACACCATCGACCCCACATCTACAGGCTGACAGGCTAGATAAGGCTGGATAGTTTTCTTTACTGTAGAGAGTTAGGGGAAGAGAGAGTGAACCAATACATGAGCTGAAACATTCTGGTAGAAAGCTGTTTAACAGCGATGGGACACAAGGAGAAAGTGCGTTGTGAGCAGCACTAAAGCTGCCAACTTCTATTTCCTGTGAAAAACTAAAGGGTAAAACAATCACATTCAAGTCCAATCCTGGCTAGCTGGGAAGTCTGCCCTCACTCCTCTCTCTCATCCAAGAAATCTCGCACCGTTTAAAAGGACGAAGTACGACACTATAACATGTAGACACAATGAGAACAAAGAGAATATGGTAGAAAAATAATGTTGACAATAAAAAAAAAAAGAAAACTGGTACTATCAAGTGACCTGCCATGATTTTGAAGAAATTAATAAAACTAATGAAGAGTTTAATGCAATGACAAAAGAACTTGGGAAAAACATGTTAAGAAATGTGGCTGAAAATTAACTAGTAGAGTTCAGAAAGACACAGAAGAAAAAATAAAAACCAGAAGAGAAATGAAGGACACACTGAAACTTACAGAAAAACAGTCATTGCTAAAATACTGTAAATGACATGGTGGAAAGAATAAACGAAAATAATCAGTGGAAATGGACAAAGTCGAAAAGGACTGGAGAAAAAATGACAGTTGTTCTGGTGGTTAGACACTAGCAGGGCTGAGGCATGAGGGTGGAGGTCAAAACAGCATGGTTGGCCAGGTATAGCGAAACGAAGGGGACCACAGCGTGTAAATATTTGTTAGGTCTGAGACATAAAGGGATCCCACAGAGCACAATTCCATTTTAATGCCACACATGTGCACATTCCTCCTGATGCCTGGCCATCTGGCCCCTTACTTCCAAAACAAGTACACAGCATTTTTGGATGGCCTATGCTCAACGATGTCAGAAGGCTGAACATTCTTTAAAGACTGTCCTTCCTTGGGCTGAGACCTGATTTAAATTTCCTTCATAAGTTTCTTAAGGTTAAGGCCCCTGAGAGAACACTGACCATCAGAAAAACAGTAAGACATTATTTGACTGACATTCCATAGTAACATTCCCGTAACTCTTGTATGTATAAAACGGTATCCAACTCATACTCCGGGCAGATGTCTTTGTGACACTGCCCACTGTCTTGCTTGAAGGCATAATCTCTCCATACCAGTTTTACAATGGGCACTACCTCTACTTAAGCATGGTCACCTATGTGTCTTGACTGAAATCTTTCATCAAAAGCACAAAGAACCAAGGAACAAGGAGTGAGAGGCCAGTTCCTCAGTGTGTCAGGAACTAGCTTCCTGGTGATAGATATGTCAGCCTGTTATGGCTTATGTCTGTGTGTCCCCCCAAAGCCTCTTGCGGCCATGGGGCAGGCTATTAGAGTTTGAATATGGGTGTGAGAGCTGCACCCGCCCCGGGAGTGGATAGTTTGCATATGTAAGGGAGAGGAAAAGGGTGCTTGGGGCATTCCTCCCCCATTCCCGCTGGTGTGTGCTTGGGGCTTTGCTGTGCTGCCGCCCTGAGATGCAGCCCTCTGCCACGCGCCACTCTGCCTTGTAATCTGCCAAGTACGGATTGAAACTTCCACTAACTGTAAGCGAAATAAACCTTTCTTTCCTTCATTTTGGGCGTCAGGTATTTTGTCCCAGCAGCGAGAAAAAAGTAACCAAGACACAGCCAAACAAAGGAGATATAAAATTTGTGTAACTGGTATTCCTAAAGAAGAAAATAAAAATAATGCAACTGAAAAATATTCAAAGGTACGATTTAGAAGGTTTTCTAGAAGCAAAGGGAAGATTTAAAACCACAGAATGAAAAGACACCATAGTCTTGGAAAACCTGACATAGATCTAAAAAGAAAGAGAAGAACAAAGAAGAAGAGGAAGAAAAGAAACATCGGTAGGGGCTGGGATTTAGCTCAGCAGCACAGTGCCTGCCTGGCAAGCACGAGGTTGTGAGTTCGATTCCCGGTACCAGAAAAAAAAAAACAAAAACCAAAAAAGAAACATCGGTAAATGACTTCAATGAAAAGTTACAAATCTGTGAACGTAGCAGGGAAGAAAAATTCAAGCAAACCTCAGGAAGCTATATAGCTATATAAAATGTTAGTTGAAAAGTCACTGTCTATTAAGTCCCCAAGAAATAATGTGTGAAGACAGGACTTTATATATAGCTCGAAAAACTGTCAATTAAAAAGCACCAAAAAGGTACTTTGAATACGCTCAGAAAATATAATTCCCACAAAATCTTCAATCAGTGACCAACCAAAATAAACTTTAACCAAGAGGTAACTGGAGAAATTACAAGAAAGAGACTCTGATGAGTAGTTTAAGACTGTTTAAAACAAGGAGTGAGGCCAGGCATAGTGGCACATGCCTATAATCCGAGCATTCATGAGGCTGAGGTAGGAGGATTGCTGTGAGTTTGAAGCCAGCGTGGGCTACAAAATTATTTTAAGGCCAGCCTGAACTGCATAGCGAGACCCTGCCTCAAAGAGACAAAACAAGGAGTGGTGGCTGACAGGAGTCAAATACACAAGAATAAGAGCAAAGGAAAAAACCATAGATACACAAAATTAAAAGCACACAACATGTTAATTTACTCAATTCTATATGAAAACTAAAACTCAGATAAAACATAATATATTAGAGTCACCAAATGCCAAATCTGGTCCACTGTTTGTTTTCATAAGTAAAATTACTGGAACACAACCCTATGCATTTGTTTATTTACTGTTTAAGGCTGATTCTGTGATACAGCGGCAGATTTCAGCAGTTTAAGAGAGACTATATATCCCAGAAAGCCTGAACTATTTCCTCTGCAGGAAAAGTGTACCACCTCCACTTTAGGAAACACTGAAATTGAGATATAAAACTCTAAAAGATGACAGAGGTTACTACAGAGTACCAAGTCCACATGGCGTCACGGGTAAATTCTCAATTGTCAAACCAAGTACCTTCAAATTAAAAAAAACAAAAACAAAAACCAAAAAACCCCCAAAAACCAAGTACCTTCAACGCTATTTAAACTGCTTGCATCACACAAACAAGGAATGAAAGCCTACAAATTTTATCAAGTCGTCACAGTACTGATATTAAAGTCCACAACTAAGCCATGCAAACCAACGAAGGACACCACCATACAATTTACCGATTATATGGAGCTCACGCCAGGTTACAAGGGTAATTCATTCTCATGGCACTATTACAATAATACTAATAGTAAAGGGAAAAATTATCACTTTAGATACTAAATCATCACATAATTAAATTTGATGTTCATTCCTAACTTTTAGAAAATTAAAGAATTAAAAGCAAAATATATTTGTTAACTGAAAGCCCTTATAATATTTAATGAAGAGATATTAGAAACACTCATTAAGAATCATGAATTATGCACAGAGGTTTATAATTACAATCATTTAATGTAAAAGTACCAGCAGACAGAAACAGAAAAAATAAAAAAAAGAATGGAATGAGTTAAAGTTATCATTATTGATAAGAAAATAAGACTAATTCAAAATCCTCAAAAGAAATAGATAAATGGAATGAAGAATTCAAGTTATCAATATTTAAAAGAAATAAGAAAATTAGATTGTGTAACTGAAAGTCCCAAAAATATTAACTGCAAAATTATTGGAAACAAAAACATGTAAGAGGGGCCGGGGATATAGCTCAGCAGCACAAGCGTGTGCCTGGCAAGCGCAAGGTCCTGAGTTTGATTCCTGGTACCAAAAAGAAAAAAAAACAAGAATGCAGTAAGATGCCTCTGCACAAAACTGGTGTTTGTGAGCACTACAATATTTAGGCAGAAGCAAAAACCAGTTAGAAACTATAAGGACCCCACTTCTAACAGCAATAAGTGATAGTAAACATTCAAAAAATGTTCAACACTGGGGCTGGGGATTTAGCTCAGCGGCACAGCGCCAGCCCGGCAAGCACAAGGTCGTGAGTTCGATCCTTGGTACTGGAAAAAAAACAAAACAAAACAAACAAACAAAAAAATGTTCAACATTTATATGAATGAAGCACAAACTCCACAGGACAAACAAGAAAATTAGAACAAGTGGAATAAGTGTTCTTGGATGAAGCAGCCACTATTATAAAGATAACAAGTATCTGTTAAATTAACTTAATGTGATCACAAGGAAAACATTCATAGAACTTTCTAAAAGAACTGAACTGATTCATTTCTAACTTACCTGATTCTAAAGTTCAGATAAAACACGTGCCAGAAATAGCCAGAGAAAAGTATGAAAAGGGTAACGAGAGGTTTGATACCTCTCCCAGATCTTCAAATCTATTTACAGCTTTAGCAATCAAAACAGTGATGAACAGACAAGACAAATCAGTGGAATGAGTGTCAGAAATAGACCCAAAATATGTACAAGATTTTGGTATTCTTTTAGGAGAAAAGATGGATTAATGAAGTTGGATAAATAAGCTCTCTGGAACAAAATAAGATGTGTTCCTCTGCCGCTCACAACAAAATGGAATTCAAGATCAATAAAAAAGTAACACATAGCAAAGTACAACACCACAAAGGTGCTGCAGCTTGTGATATACACTCACTGACTGAAACAGCCTTATCAGATAGGAACCGCTGGGACTCCCACCGGAGAATGAGGAAGCTCAGTGTCACCAGTAAGTGCCAATACTGGATTCAGACCAAGGCAGTTCTTTGCTCTTAACCACAGGATACAAAATGTAGAATATCTTAGAGAAAAAAGTAATAAATTTATAAAGACTACAGAGCTGCAGCATGGCAAATGGAAACACTACAGCTAAATAACAGAAATTTAGAGCTACCCATAAATAATATATACTCCATAGTACAATGGAATATTTTATAGGTATTTTAGAAATCAGGCAGGTTTATTGATACTAACGTAGATAATAATCTCTAAAGTGAATTAAACAAAATAAACCAAGGAGGAGAGAAATGTGGGTGGAATGGGGACTGAGTGGGAGCGAGCTACTTTTACACTGCACTTTTTTACTATGCAGTACTTTAGATTTTTTCCATGTATATGTAATATTTATCTAAAAAAACTAAATTTTTTTACTACAAAAGACATACTAGATTCCAGCCACAGCTTGTGACTCACTTGCCCTCTCTCTACTGTAAAGAGTTGTATGTTCTTGGATACACCTGAATATAAAACAATACAAAGCAACTATCTTCACATGAACTATGGCAGTATATAACAAAGGTTCTTTGTAACAAAACAAATCTCTTAACTAAGACAAAACCCTTTTACTCACACCTCAGGCATTCCCTACATGGTTCTTGGAGTTTCTGCTTACCACCTCTTCTCAAATCACTCTTTCCTTGGCTTTATGTTTTTTTTTTTTTTTTTTTTTGAGCCAGTGTCTTGCTGTGTACTTTAGACTGAACTCATTATATAGCCCAGGCTGGCCTCGAACTCATGGCAATCCTCCTGTTTCAGCCTCCCAAGTGCTGAGATTATAGGTGTGCGTTACCCTGGCTTTAATAACCTATCACCACCGTGCTGCTCTAACTCATACAGTAAGCCATCTCTGGCTGGACTCTGCTCAGTAGTTTACACTGAAGATGACTACTATGGTGTGGTTTCAAATCCTCTACAATTCCTTTTCTCCTCCCTTTAGAGAGCCCACTCACACTCTCAGTGTCAATCTTCTTCACGGAGTACTCTAAAATTGAGTCTCTCTCAAATCCTTTACTCAATGTTTTCTAAACACACAGCTAAATTGCTAGCCTCCAATGTACTGTATTTACCAATTGTGTCTTTGTTCCCAACATAGACCTAGTTATCTTTTTAACAGAACTGGGGATTAAACTTAGGGTCTTCACTCTGAGCTATGTTCTTAGCACTTTTAATTTTTTATTCTTATTTTTCCAGCCTTTTTGAAGATTTTGAGACTTTGTTAAGTCATAAGTTGCCCTGGTTGGGCTTGAACTTGCAGTCCTCCTGCCTTAGCACCTCAGAGTGCTGGGGAATCAGTGTGTGTCACCATCCCTGGCTAATGCATGCATGCATATATTCAGTTGCTCATTTGTAACGTTTATTTTCCTTAGTACATTTTTGCAGTACACAGTGATTATATTTGATAAATGAGAAAACCAGTCTTCAGTTTTCCACCAACATACTGCTACTACAGTGGGAGAGGCACAATTCAAATACAGGCGCAGCTGATTCAACACTCCTAAAAACTCTAGTTGTAGCCACTGGTTAATTTACTAAAGGATCATCCTCTTACTAGACAGAGCCGTGCTTAAATTGTTCCCATAAAGCTTCCATTTTTGCCATGTCTGGTGATACATGCATACAGTCCCAGCACCCTAAGAGAGGGAGGGAGGAGGACTGCAATTTTAAGCCTAGCCTGGTCAACTGAGAGAGACCCTGCCTCAAAACTGTTTTTAAATGTAATTAAATAAGGGGATGTGTGGCTCAGTGTGGGCCGAGTTCAATCTCTAGTGCTGGAAGAAAAAACCCACTTTTACCTTACTTGAGCAGTAAGAACAAGTTCATACAAATTCTGTGGGTGATGGATAGGTGGCACTGAGCGAAGTGGAGGTGACACTGGGTACACGGAGTTACACTGCTACATACAAAACGGGGCCTTTGACACGGACCTAACTACAACTCTCTCTGCTTTACAAGCAGACTTGCTTTAAGAGGGATCCCTTTACTGATCTGTGTGGGGGGGATGAGAGCAGGAAAATAAATCATCTAAACTGTCTTTTCATAATATGCAGGCAGAAGGTAGTAGGGAGAGTTCATACAACCGCCTATATATCCTGGGCATACATGCTTCACCGGACTTTTGTAATTCTAATGTCCTAGCCTGACAAGACACCCAGTAATACCTCATGCAGTGCCCGGCAAAAATGAAAGGCTCACCAAACAGTTGCTGTTACTATTGAAGACCACATACCCAAAATGGGTACGATGACTTAAATGGGAAAAGGGACATGGGGAAGCAACCATCCATCTTCATTAGAAAAAAAAATCACAGGGAGATGAAAGAAACAAAACCTAAAAGTCAATACCACCATGACATAAAGTGCATTAAATCTAATGATGCTTCAGTAAACGCTTACTGATTGAACTTTTCTCTTCCTAGGCATTTAGAACCTAAGTAGAAAACTAGCTTCATGTCTAATATCATAAAAAGTGCACACAGGTACTTGTACCTATTTGTAAGAACTTACCTTATAATTGCAAACATGGAATTGAAATTCTTACATTCTCGACAATGAAGTGCAATCTTAATAAAATGCTTAATGATTTTCATTCGTTTGAGCTGATTTGATTCTGTTAAAATCTCTGAGGCAACCCAGAATGTCTCTTGGTTAACAATGTCCTCAAACTCCTTCAAGTGAGTATTTCCCGTTTTTGAGTCCAACTTAAAAATGTCATCAATGTACTCAGTAGGCTCAATATTACGAAATAAGTCAAAGTCCCTCATGGACAGCTGGGCGGCCAGCTCGATGGTACTGAGCTGCAGCATGGACAGCTGGCTCTCCTTCACCAGTTCCTGCGCGTCTTCATCTGAGCACAAGGTTTCTGTTTCCATGTTATTTTTTAGATAGTACCTAAAGGAAAAAAGTTTTTTTTAATAAAACTGATCATAAATGTGGTGTCATTCATAAAAACACTGTACCTCTTTATTACTGTTCTCAAAAATACTGCTTTATTAAGCACACATCTGTAACATCAGCTCCCTGGAAGAATAAAAGAAAAACTCCTTAGAAAAACAACTGTGAAAATGACGGTTTCTTACGCCCACAGTACATTCACATTCTAAACATATTTTTTTTTTTTTTTTGCGAGAGAGTCTGGCTATGTAGCTCAGGCCACTTTGACCTTGTGGCAGTCCTCCTGTGTGCTGGAATTACAGGGGTGTGCCACCACGCCTAACATGAATAAATTTATAAACTAATACACACACATATTCAGATACATATAAAGATTGCTGTTACTCAGTTTCTTCCTCTGCAAAAAACAGACTGAGTGCACCAGCAGTTCTCAGATTTTCATTTTAGCATGACTGCTTACACACTTTGGCAAGGTGGTCTCCCCCCTTTTATTCTCCTCACTCTAGAGTAACCCTTAAGAAAACCCTACAATTCTATTTATATAAGCCAAAGTTTGGGAAAAAGAATCCCTACTTTAATTTAGAGAGAACTCAGTAGCAACAAGACATGATGATGTTTCTACTAAAAATACCTGTTTTAGTAGGATCTTCAAAAAGCACATTTACAAATACGCACGTTCTCTAAGAAGCATATTCACCTTCCACTGAGTTGAATTCGATCAGCTAGTTTGGAGAACTGGTCTGGAAGTCTTCTTTGCTTTATGACACCCTCAGGAGTAACAGAGACTTCACAGAGAGAGTACGTGTCAGATGCGCCAGTCAGGCCAAATTCATGGACAGCATGACAAACTACTTCTTTAGCTGTGGTATCTTTACTGATGATAATGTAGCAACTTTGTTGATCTGCTTTGAAAACTCTTATAACTTGATCAGGAATATCTATATAAATACAAAACATGCTTTTATTATTCTCAAGAAAATTACTTTCATTTATTTATTTTTTTGCTTTTTGAGACAGGGTCTCGCTATGAAGTTCAGGCTGGCCTTGAGCTCACTTTGTAGCCCAGGCTGGTCTTGAACTCACAATGATCCTCCTGCCTCATCCTCCTGAGTGCTGGGATTACAGGCATGCACCACCACGCCTGGCTAAGAAAATTACTTTTAAAAACTCTTCAAAAAACAATGTGGAATACAATGATTCCTGTAAAACACTGACATTTCTATTTCAGGCAGCAGACTAACAGAAATAACTGATGCATTTTTAAGAAAAATGTACTTTTCAGGTGACAAAATACTAATACATGTTCACAAAGATAAAAATTGGAAAAAAACTGGAATCATCACTTGAAAGCTATTTTTCTCATTTATTATAAAGTCTGATGCTATTCTTCCATAAAACTATTTTTAATACAGGCACAGGATTCCATCTTATATATTTTGTATATTTCAGTTATACAAAGCCCTAATGATAGGTATGTAGATTGCTCACCGTTCTCAATTACAGTAAGTTACATTAGATATAGACACCCACCCTTACAAACTAGATAAACCTTCGCAGGCAATCTGTGTATTTCCTCAGTAAAAACCCTCTTAAACAATTGCTGAGTTATAACCCATGCATATCTTCCAACATCTTGAAATATATTGCCAAGATACTACACAGAAAAATTATAATAGTTTATAATTCTAGAATGTAAGACAGCAAATTTGGTCACATCCTTTTTAAAAGTTTAACAAAAAATGTTTAGTTTTGTTTACCCATTTTGAAAGCCCTATCCTTTTCCTCCTTCTCAGAAATATGTTATTCTTTTATTTTTCATTTCTTTGGTTACTGGTGAGATTCCGTAACTGGTATTGGTTTAATGAACCATCGGTATTTCTTCTTTTTAAAAATTCCTTTCAATATCCTCTATGCTTTTTCCTACTGAAATATACTAGGTACCAACACTTAAGTCTACTATCAAGTAGCAAATGTTTCATAGTTTTTATATTCTACTTATTTTTAAGGCAGAAAGGTTTTAAATGCTCATATACTTAAATATCACAACCTGTTCCCTTGTGATTTCTGCTATTAGTAAATAAATTCCACCTCAAGATAATGTTCATCTGATCAGCACGCGTAAATGGTATTTTGTATTTCCTCTTTCTGTCCTACCTTCTTTTTCTGGTCACATAGCTTGGCTAAAGTTTCCAGAACAATGTTTCCTTTGATAAGAGTTGGCTAATTGTTAATACCGTTAAGTGAAAAGAGATTTATTTGTTACCATAGAAAATACTACATTTCCCCGAATAAATTATTATACATTTTTTTTTGCGTATAAAGACTTATTATTGGGACCTTTTCTGTGATGGTGGCAGCGGGGTCGGGCAGGCAGATTTTGGTGACTCAAGTACTTATTCTGCCTGAACAGCATTATACTCTTAGGCTCATGTACACTATTAACTTTTAGAGAAAAAAAAATTCATAGATTTGTCTCAAGAGGAGAGAAGAGAAGAGAAAGGAAGGGAAGAGAAGAGAGTAATGGAACAAATACAGTAGGAGAAACATTTCACAGAACAAGGTAATGAGAACACAAAAAGGCTCCTAGCACTACAAGACTGAACTGAATATAACTCCAGGGAGGAGGCTCAGAAGATGCTGAATGCTCTGGGACTACTGTCAAGTTACAAGAACGCTTCATCTCTCAGCTTGTCTGCAGAAGGATGCACCAAACTGTCTTTCCTTGACATTCAAAGACCCGAGTCATCAAAGTCAGACTACTGTATGATCCACTCAAATGAGAAATGCTTTTCTTCCCTATGCCAGAAAATGACTACAAGCAGACAGAAATTTTAGTTTGCCAGGAAAAAGGAAGCAAAGAATGGGTTTTCATTTTTTTGTCTTTTTGAGACAGGGTTTTGTTATGCACTTCAGGCTGGCCTTGAGCTCACTTTTGTTGCCCAGGCTGGTCTTGAACTTGCAATGATCCTCCTGCCTCAGCCTCCCAAGTGCTGGGATTATAGGCGTGTGCCACCACACCCAGCAAAAAATGGATTTTAATTATCCTTTTTTACTATTTAAACCAGATCAAACATTATACTGTTATTTGTATTATTCCCACCCTGCTCATGATAATTCTTCATGAAAATGGGTCCTGGCCTCTAGAACTAGATGTTTGCTAAAGTTCTGGAGGCTGAGCATCAGCAAGTGGTACTGGCTGGCCTTAATGGACTGGTTTTTATCCCTTTTATTACTTTCTTCAGAAGAATTTATTCACAAAGACAGGGTAAAAATTTGTACGTATTTCATGTTTTCTTCCTCTGCTGCTGTAACACTTTCTGTGAAGGAACGGCTGTATACATTGCTGAACAGGATGAAACAGCCACACTCTGTTATGGTCATCTGTTCCCCAAGTGAAGGACATATTACTTGGTAGTCACATAAAGTAAGTAAAGCAGCATAAATGGGTACTTCCACAACAGATCTGCAAACGGGACTGCCCAAAGGGTACCCCGTAACTCAAATCTGGACAAATCTGTTAAGGTAATGAATGTCAAATTCAAAAACAGAGACATTAAGAGCTGGGTGTGGTGGTGCAAGCATGTAATCCCAGCACTTGGGAGGCTGAAGCAGGAGGATTGTTGCGAGTTTGGGGCCAGCCTGAACTGCATAGTGAGACCCTGTTTCAAAAAGACCAAAAAAAAAAAAGCCCAACAAAACAGAGACATTAGAGAAAACTTTCTGTTCACTGACATCATTGACAGTGTAAACTTTTATTTTAATGCTGTTATATATATACTATATATATATTCTTTACAAACATATTTGATGATAGTGGAACAACATACATGTTAAGCGTAATACTTGGTATGGTACATGACAGATGTATGAATGTTACTTGAAGAATAGTAAATATGAGGTTAGAATAAAGCTGAATCAAAAAGGAAAAATGATCTAATAATTTCAAATTTTACGAATGAAGCTAAAATGCCCACAAAAATAAAATTTTATTATGAGGGCAAAACAGACAAAGATTCTAGAATCTCACAGTATTTCTTAGTCTTGAGATTTGTATTGTAAGAAATTCTCTGTAACAGGCAAATGAAGCAAAGAACAGAAACCCCAAATATCTGCACTTCCAACACACACACTTTCCAAGGTGCGAACTGTGATCTCACGTGAGTAGAATAAAACTATGAGTTGTGGTTGTTCTTCTATCTGCTGTTTCTATGCTGAAAGAAACTGTCAATGAGTCTTTGGTTGACCAGTATTGCATGTCTATATCTGTTTTCATGAGAAGCCACTTTGAAGATATCAATATGTAATACAACCACCATTGTTAATTCCCTACCACTTTGTTTGTAACTCTGTATTGTCTGTATTGTGCTTGTGATATGTTGTAAAATGTTGTATGTCTGTTAATGTTTCCCTCCTTTTATCCTTAAAATAAAAAAAAACAAAAACAAAAACAAAAAAAAACTATGAGTTGTTTGAGGGTTTATGCTTGAGCCCGAGATTACACTACAAATAGGAGCCCTCATGTATCGTAGAGGATCTTAAAGAAGATCTTTCACTCTTGTTTACAGTGTTAATTGCTGAATTATTAATATTCTATTATTAATCACTGAGTGCATGCCAGGACCAGCAGTGTTTGTTCGAGGTGGTGAAGATACAGTGACGAGTGAGATAAAGTCTCTGATCTCAAAGGGATTCACTGAGAAAATTCAAGAGTAAATGGTGGTCCAGTAGCAGACAATGATCAAGTCAGTAAGATACCCCAGAAATAGACAGTAAATATTTTAGGTTTTGAAGGCCAATAGGCAAATCCACAATTTCTGTTTTTGTTTTTTGAAACAGGGTCTTGCTATGTAGTTCAGCCTGGCCTTCACGCATGTAGCTCAGGCTGGCCCCAACTGACTGCAATCCTTCTAACTCAGCCCCCTGAGTGCTGAGATTACTGGTGTGCATCACCACACCCGGGAAAATATGTATTTCATAGTTATTTACATAAAAAAAGAAAAATAATTTCCACAGAATTTTTATTGATAAAATTTAAAATATAAAGGGAAATACAAAATATATAGAGATACATGAAGAGAGACTTAGACAACACTTAAGATATCCACTCACAGGTAAATGGATAAAAGAATCCAATTGGTTGTTTATAAAATTTGGTAGAAGCCAGGAGTGGCGGCACATGCCCATAATCTCAGCATTCTGGAAGTCTGAGGTAACAGGAACACAAATTCAAGCCTAACCCGGGCAATTTAGCAAGACTTAAAAATAAACAAGTAAATAAATTTAAAAATAAATTTTTAAGTTCAAAATTTAAAAGTAAACAAGTAAATAAATACGTATGTAAATAAATAAATAAATACATAAAATAAAAAGCGCTGGGGATGTAGCTCAGTGAAAGGTCCTTGGTTCAATCCTTAGTACCACCAAAAGGAAAAAAAATTTTTTTCTGTAGAATATTATATCTTGATGTAAGAAATTATTCAAGATATTTTGCTAAATGAAATTTATAAATGGAAGAAAAGTATAACATTTTGTTTAGGGTAAAGGGAACAGTACATACATTTTTTCTGTACAATGCAATTTCTACAAGAATGTATTGGTAAATTAATAATTTGTAAATTCTGGGGAATGGGAGATGTATACCTATCCTTTCTCTGTAGAATTTTTTAAAACTGTGATTATATATTCCTTTATAATTAAAAATAGCAAAAATAACTCAAACTTTTGGTACAGAAATACTTAAGTTTGCTACACTAACTAAATCAAATAACGATTTGTACTGTTAAATGAAAAAGTAGGCAAAAAAAGGTCTACATCCAAACTAAAAAAAAATTCAGTTCCAAATTTCTTTTAGCTTTACTCAAATTCTTTAATTTTCATCTTGTATTACTGGGTCAAAATTCTGAAAAGTTTTTCCCTAGTTATAGAATAGCATAAAACATATGTTTTTAGAAAATAACTAGAAGAATAAATGTTAGTTAAGACTATCTTATAAATGGAAAGAAAATGTCCGCTTCCTATTTCATTCAATTCTGCATCTTTTAAAAAATAACAAAATATTATATAGAACATGAGCAGGAGAATGCCAAATACTTACAGTAAAAACCAACAGCTGTATGCAGCAAAAGTAAAGCAAAATCATAAAAAAGTCAGCAATCAAAAACAAACTGTTCAGCAGTTCTGCTCACTTTCATTTTGATGTAATAATTTTAAACATGCAGAATAAACATAGGTGTGCTCAAAATTGATTAACAGTAATCAAAGTTAGCTGACATCACACAAATACTACAATGTATATGTATAATGTACAGAGCTAACTTTAATGCTATTATTTATAAAGAGCTGAACTTGGAAGTTTTGGGTAGTATTTTTTCAACATAAATAAGTAACACCACCTCTAGATAGATGGTCTTTTATATACACATTTAGGGGTTGAAAATGGGATTTATAAATTAAATACCTACGCCATGTGTGTTCATTTATATTATTGATATGAGCATATGTTGCAGACTGAGCCATATCAGACCTTCTCTAAACAGATTTTTTTTAAAAAAAGCATCTTCAGTCCTGTTAAGATGTTTCTAAGGAGAGAACTATGCAATCAATCTGAAATCAAGTTGGGTAACAGCTCCTCTCTAGAGATTTGCATTTTAGTCCCATGGTGTTGAACAATTTCTGCATTTGAATAATTTCAACCTTTTTCTGTTGTTTCCCCAGCACTCTCTTCTCCCTACCACCTCATGCCTTATTCTCTCAGTCCTGCTTTCTACATATGCCCGTGGCAACAATACAACTGTAAAATTCATTAAGCCTATTAATCATAGGCCCCCAAATACCTATCTTAGAAACAGACATATATTCAGCTTGTGAAAATACTGCATTTATGAATATCCTATATGGTGTAAGAAGTACCATTGTTGTTTTTTTTTTTTTTTTTTTGAGACAGGGTCTTGCTATGCAGTTCAGGGTGGCCTTGAGCTCACTTTTTAGCCCAGACTGGCCTCGAACTTGCAACAATCCTCCTGCCTCAGCCTCCTGAGTGCTGGGATTACGGGCCTGCGCCACCATGCCAGGCAGAAGTACCAGTGCTAAACACATATACACAGGCACACAAATAAATTTCTATTCTATCGTGTGATGTACCACATAAGACCATGAAAATGTCCTGGGAACTTCTGAAAGATGAGATGGTGACTGCAGCACAGGGGGCTTGGGCTTCCCAGCTGAAATAAGTTAACATTTGAGTTCTGCATGGATGGATAAGAAAGTACACTGGACATACAGGAAGAGAACTCTACAGGTGGCAAACACGGGCAGAGAGTTTTGAAGGTCCAAGCTAAACTGCAAAAAGGATGACTTCACCGTGGGTAGAATGTCTGGAGGCAAGAAAGGAGGTGCACCCCAGCAGTGCTTCCTCACCCTGGCAGTGGCATTTATTTAATGTGCCTGACAGCAAACCAAGTTTGTAGTTTTCCTACCTGTGGTACTTAATGCTTCTGTTCTTATTTTATTTATTTATTTATTTACTTTTTACTGTATCAGGCAAATAACTTTATATGCTGGTAATAATCTTTATAGTAACTTCTTATAAAGCAACTAGATTGATTTGTCTCATGTCTCAGGCCTAATACAGAAACGGCCAGAAATATCTAAGCAAAGTAATGATTCCTTAAAATTTCTTTCCTAGAAAGAAAACTGGTAGCCACACAGAAGGTGGGATGTACAAAAGCACATCACTGGGTTTAGTCATCTCTATTGGTTAAGAGGTAACTAAAATAAAAAGGAAGAAATAATGTATGAAATGACCTTCACTAAGCTGTGTATGCCATGTCCTGACATTTTCAAAATGCTATAGTAAAACGAAATTTATTACCACACTTCTACTTTCTTTTTCCTAATACAGAGATTTATGTAACTGAGTTTCCTTTTTACAGTAGTAGCTTCTGACATCTGAAATATCCTAATGCTGGTGGAAGCACAATAAAATGACAAAATAACTTTCAGTGTTGAGACAAAATTCAGTGCTCTAAGAAAATTACTAAGAAGGCCAGCGATATAGCTCAGCAGCATAGTGCCTGCCTGGTAAGCGTGAGGTCCTGAGTTCGATCTCCAGTACCAAAAAAAGAAAAGAAAATTACTAAGAGATTTTTATATATTACAGAGGAAATAAGTGTGGCCACTTAGATTAAAATAATCTGCCTCATTCTTTTCCACACCCTGGTTAACATATTTTTTGACTGCGTACTATGTGTGCTTGAATTTACCTGTTCAGATAACAACTACCTAAATCTGTGGTCAAATGAAGTCCTTTTAAAATGGTCTTTTGTTCCATTTCAGAGGAAGTACTACTCAGTGTAGGTAAGAAGATAAGGTCTTCGTGTCAGCTGTTTACATGAAGTCATAATCCAGAAGTCAGAGAAGGGGCTGCAAGCGACCCTAGGACTTGCTGCTTGAAGCGCGACCATTACCTGTCCCTTAGGCACCAATGGGACTGCATGAGCTGACACACCAACATTACCTGAAGGGTTGGAAAAGTCCAACATGCTGGTGGTCGGCTGTAGAAGATCAGGGCTGCTGGATGAGAGTGTCCCAGGAATAGGCATTATAGCCAGGCTGTGTCTACAATGTCTCGTCCCCACAATGCTGTCATCCTGTGACTGGCTCAGGCCTCCATCGCTTCAAAGGAACGCCAGACATCACATGAAGGGTTAGAGGGCATTCAACAGCAAACAGCTCTATGCTCTGTGTACTAAGGCATAACAGGGTTAATTCTAAGTGGTGAACTAAGCAATTCGATTAGATTTTTAAAAACTGGCTGGAGATGTAGCTCAGCGGCACAGCGCCTGCCTGGCAAGCACAAGGTCCCAAGTTTGATTTCTAGTACCAAAAATAAAGAATTTTTTTAAAAACAGGACAACTATAATGGTGAAGATAGCAGTAAGATATTTTTAATCAATACATTTAAGTAAAATTTAATTTATACATAATTCCACTACTTCATAAAGAAAAGTCATGTTTAGTTTCTACTGTTTTTACTAGAGAAATTAAACCTAATTGTCCAGAGAGCCCTTAACATTTCCCAGCCCCAGGGAGCCCCGGTATCAGTACCCACCGTGCACAGCAACACGACACAAGTGTCCCTCTGCCCACACGACAGCCCTCCATGCAGCAAAATCAGACAGAAGGTAAACCTGCAAGGCATTTCCCTTACTGCCTCAAGAGCAAGCCTTAATTAAATGGTCTTATTAAAGCAAATAAAAGACATCTCCTTTATTTTAGAAGTCTCACACAGCAATCCCGAATCCACCTTAAACAACAACAACAACAACAACAACAACAAAAAATAGGCTGGGCATATAGCTCAGTGGCCCAGCGCCTGCCTGGCAAGCATAAAGTCCTGAGTTCAATTTCTCATACCAAAAAACCAAACCGAACAAACAAACAACAACAAAAACTGAAACATAACACTATCACTTAATTTCTATACAGCCCCCAACAGTAGTTTAACTTCACAGTGAAACAGTTACACAACAACAAGACAGCAATACAAAAAAAGATTTCTGTCAGCATCAATAACCCAAATACTACCTTGTAAGGGTTGTCTTTACATTACTAGTACAACCGATGCTTTCTGTTATACTAATTCCCATGTAAATTTTATTCAGTTCAGCATTCTGCCCAATACTTGCTTAACATACAAAGAGATATCACAGAAAACTTACCTATTATGACAGAATGGATTATGTTAGTGTCTTAAAAATGAGTGAAAAGGGATATATTTAGACTAGGTTAGAAGTCGAATACAGGATTTAGGCAGATTGGAAAGTGGTTCAAGATGGAGAGTTTAGGGTTGTCAAATAAACAGCTAATGCCTGTTAATAGCCAGATGAGAGCCAGGACAAGAGCTGAGGAGAAAGGCAGGCGCATGAAGACGTGCAGGAAAGCCAAGACTAAAGTTTTACAAACAAGCTATGATGCCAGACAGACCTGTGTTATTAGCTTTGACCTCAGGCAAATTTCTTTCTGTCACTGGACCTTGGCTTTCCTAATCTATAAATGTGAACAACACAGTACTATTTACACCCCAAGGCTCTTATAAGGATTAAATCAGGGGACTTGGGTGAATATTTTGGCACAGAAGAAAACAGGATTTTATTTTTGTTTTTTAATAGTAGCAAAGTTTTACTAAAGTGGGAAAAGAAACAGGCTCTGCAGAGTGAGTTGGGGCCAAATGAAAGTGGAGAAGTACACCCTACAGCCAGAGGGCGGGCTACCCTGAGGAGGCACAACAGCCAGAACTCCTACTTCTATCACAAGCAAAATGAGAATAGTACAAACCTTGAAAGGAGAGACACTTATTTTAACTAATTTATACTAAAAACAGAGAGGGACAGTATAGATACAGGAAAGGCACTGTACAAACAGGGAATTTATTACTAGACAGCAAAGGCAGTCTAGTCTCTAAGGCAAAAGAAACGTTTTGTTTGTGCTTACCACACACTGGTTCCTAACATCTAGATTCCCATTCTTAGTTATCACAGTCAAATGTTTTCAGTTAACAGGAAAAAGGAAGTTCTCAGTTTTTTTTTATTTATACTTTTTAAAACACATATATGTATTTGTTTCTACGAGACAGAGGCTCGCTGTGCAGCTCAGGCGGCTGGCCTTGAAGTCTCGATGGAGCCCAGGCTGGCCTCTCTCAGCTACTCGGCCTCTCCAGTGCAGGGACTGCAGGTGTGCGCCACCAAAGCCACCGAGTTTTCAAGGAAAGGAAGTGAGTGGCATCCGTTGCAACAAGGTAGAGCTAAACCTATAGCCAAACAACTTCATAACTTCCTTTTCACTTTAATTTTCAGGAATTTTTTTCATTCTTAAAGTATGCCATGGTTTAAGATTTTGGATTTTTTTTGTGGTACTGGGAACTGAACATCCTTTTATTTCTTACTGACGCTATTTAACATTAACTCTGTTTTTTAAATTAACCAACATGATACAATACAGCTATAACCATGGAGAGCTGGTTATAAGTTCACGGTAACTAAGGTGCAAACATGTACATATGAAAATTATACTGGCCATATACAACCCATGCTATGACAAGAACAAAACAGTATTTAGCTGGCAAAACAGCCATGCTTGATGCTGAATTGATAAAGCCTATTTTTCAAAATATGTCATTTCTTACCCTAAAAGTCTCCTGAAATGTGATGCAGTAACAGAAACAAGACATTTGAAAAATTCCTTGATAATTCCCTAACACTAAATTTACTCAGAATAAGTTTCATATTGTGTAACTAAAAAGGTCACAAAATGGTACTTACGAGAACAAAAATAACCCCAATATTAAAAGCAAACAAAAATATTGTTAAGAAATTTGAAAGAAAAATAATTCCTGAGAAGCAAGCAAGCAATCTACATCTGGAATGTTATAATAAAAAGTACAAAGATACTACTTATCCAGTTGTGATTAAAGAAATAAAATAAAAGAGTGATTTAAGAAAAGGAAATCAGATTGCCTGAATTGTGAAATATTCTCTGGTCAATAAAAACCACATTATGATGTCATAATTTATAGATGTTCTGCAAATCAGTAACTTTTTTCTTTGAGACTGAACCCAGGGTCTCATACATATGAGGCAATTGCTCTATATTGAGCTAAAACTCCAGCTTAATAACTTCTTTTTCACTTAATTTTATATTCTTTCATCTTAAAGTATGTCATAGTTTAGGATTTTGGATATTTGTTGTTGTTATTGTTGTGCTGAACTATATTCCCAGCCCTTTAATTTCTTTCTTTCTTTTTTTTTTTTTTTTTTGCGATAAGAGTCTCACTAAGTTGCTAATTTGTCCAGGCTAGGCGTGAGCTCGCAATCCTGCTGCTTCAGCCTCCTAGTGCTTGGTATTACCCTCTGAGGTCTTGTCCTTTTTTTTTTTTTACATTTCAACTTTTTTATTGAATTTGTAATAAAGGAGGTAGTGGGAAGGGTGAACACTTAGAATCACAACCCGTATTAGATACCGGGGAGAGAAAAATTACATTAAACCAAGAAGAGGAGAAGGGAGAGTCAGAGGGGACCTTGCCCACCTTTCAACATCAGAAACTGGAGGGAAAGCAAAGGGTCAGGAGAGGAGAAGCAGACACTCTGCCATCTGTCCACCCCGCCTGGGCTGGGGGTCCCCACCAGCAGTTCCCAGCACAGGGCTCTCTCATCCCGTGCGCACCTGTCACGCCTCCCGACGCCCACCTGGCGAGTGTCCAAGGTTAGTCTTGGCCAACAAACAGGAGGCGTTGGGGATGGGGGTCCAGAAGGGTCAGCAGAGACCCCCAATACTGATTCTCCTCTGGCTGGAGGTGAGCAGGAAGGAGACACAGCTCAAATTCTGAGCAGAAACAGGAAGAGGGAATCCTGCCAGCTGGAGGTGGGGAGACCCTGTACCAGATCCACACCTGCACCCCTGCAGAAAGGCTCATGGGTACTGAAGACAGTGGTGAAAAAGCTGAAGGGGAAAGCACCAACACCAAATAAGAAGTGAAAACCCCAGTACCACCCAACGGCTGGAAGCCCTGTTCCCTCTCTGGAGCTGGCCCCTCTCTCTGGAGGTTTCTTTCTGGGATCCTGGGGCTTCCGGCTCCCTCAACCTTCTTTCTGTTGATGCCGGCTCTGCATACTAGGCACTCCTGCCGATCTGGCTGTGTCTCCAGACACTGATGCAGGCAGGGCCAACAGCACAGGTGGCCACACCGACTGGCGCTTCCCGAGCGGTCTCCGAACATATATTACATTCGAAGGTCACCCCCACCCCCATCCTCCTCCTCTGCTCTGCCATGGCCGGTTCTCATTTTTCCTTGTCCCCTATTTTTAAGAAGTGACTGCTGCTAAAGCGACTAAATATGACCTTCTGCAATGGCTCCTTGGCACACAGGAGATATTCAGAAACTGCAGAATTAAATAATTAAAATTTTAAAATCTCAAAAACTATTTGAAGTAGGAATCCTGCAGAGTACAGACAGCAAAAGGGGAAAGTTACCTGTAAAACCCTAACTTATAAAAAAAGTCATGGCGAATATCTCATTGTTTTTCCTTCTAGTCATTTTTGTGTTCTGCAGTACAGGTCAGCCAATCCCTCATAGATGGACTTTTAGACTATTTCCAATTTTACTTTGTTAAAGGTAATATAACTAAAAGCACCTATATACACCTCCATCTAACGACCTGAAATGGGATTAGTGAATCAAAGGATAGGGCCATTTTTAAAGCTCTGAATAACAAACTGTCCCAGTGCTTTACAGACAGCCTGGAGCTGTGACCTGGGCCTCTAGTCCCAGCTGTCCTGAGGCTGATGCAAGAAGATCACTTGAGCCTAAGAGTTGTTATCAAAACTTCATTAACAAAACAAAACAAATGAATAAAAACAACCTTTACGGGAGACAGTATCATTTTATATTAGCACAGCAGTCTGCCCGTCCTATCTACTTTACATTCCCCAATTCTGGTACTGTTCTTTGTTAATCTTTTTTTTTGTTTTGTTTTTGATTTTTCTCCGGTACCAGGAACCGAACTCACGACCTTGCGCTTGCCAGGCAGGCGCTTTTGCCACTGAGCTAAATCCCCAGCCCCTCTTTGTTAATCTTTGTCGAAACAGTATTCTGTCTTAAATCATATATCCTTGCTTAGTACCAGGGTGGATCATTGAATTCATATTGTTTCTCTATTGAAGTTTGAGTGATTTTTTTTCTAATTGGCTTAGTTTTTAAGACTTCTCTAAACAAAGGACAGTACATTTCTATGTTGTTGAAAGAATTATCTCAATGGTGGTGGATACACTCCAAGTATTTTAAATGTATGTACAAAATGCCACAATGAAACTCAATATTCTGTATAATTAATATACACTAATAAAAATGTACATGGAAAAACTGTCTTGAGTTCACTTCAAATGATTAAGTACCAAGAAATATACACTCATTTTCAAAAATGCAAAGTGGCCTGACAGATTAAAAAAAAAAATCAGCTCTTCTCACAAAAGATGTTCCAGACATCTTTACGACTTCTGACAGAATATTCTGTTTTCTGGTATTTACGATGCAAACATTATTAGCATTTTACTTCACTGAAACATGTTTAGAAGAGACATCCAGGGTATATGAACTTCCAAAGTGCAGCACATTTTATTCACGTTTGTACTCTAGCCAACGTGCTAGCACAAAGCAAAGGACTTGATAAATGCTTACTGCTTAATATAAATAAGAGTAAATTAAAATATCCCTTTGGAGTGTAAGTAAAACTTTCCCTACTACATCTTTCTTTTCTTTGGTACCAGTATAAAGTGATAATGCGGAAAATACTCAACTGACTGCTCCTGGAGACTCAATTTCTTTGTTTCCTGTTGCAACCAAAAGTAGAACCCATGTACAGTAACTAATTCTCATGCCCCAAAGGATAATGTGGAGGTGAGCTACTTAGTGTCCCGAAACATGAGCATAGCTGGCTAAGATGAGATGCTAACAAGCTGAGCGGGTCATAATTAGTGTTCTCTGGTGTTAGATGGTCTAACTGTGCCACCAGTCAAAATGAGAACCTGTTCACTCCAGACCCAAACCATCAGGGTTTCTGGACGTGGAACTCAGGGCAATAGTTCCTAAGGAACACTCTTCTGCCTCCTGATCACTCAGTTTTTTCCCTATTTCTCAGTAACTTCCGGTCATTTCAAACTGTCTCCATCTCTTCAGTATTGGTTGGTCCATTCTCCTCGCTTTGCTCCTATTTGTGAGAATAAGATTTTCTTATAGTGTTTGCAGCAGAATATTAAGGGACTTTGATTTTTTGTTTTGTTTTGTTTTTTGTAGTCCAGGTTGTCCTGCTTGCTATGTAGTCCAGGCTGGCCTTGAACTTACCAAAATCCTCCTGCCTCAGGCTGCTGAGTGCTAATATTATAAGCGTGCACCAGTATGCATGGCTAATGTTGATACTTTAAAGTTGTGATTTTTATATACGAATTACCTTAAGGACATCAGTCACCCAGAAAGGAATAAGTAAAGAATTTTCTAGAAACGAAAGTGATTAGGAACAAAGCTCAGGACATTTCAATCCTGTTGAGTATCAAGTTAAGTGAAGAGCAAATTACTTCTCTGATCGGAAATAAGAACTCATGAAGAAGAGCATTTCTTGATCTTGGATATCTGAGATTTTCATTGAAAAAAAATATGGAAAATTGTGCTTGATTGAATATGCTTCTTTTCTTTCACTGACTAAAACAATGTCTTAACTTATGGAACAAATATTAATTGGATGCCCACTCTGTGCTAGGTATTGATCAGGAATTTTGTGATTGGTTTAGAAAATTGATAATGTAAAATATACACATAGTAATATACACGAGAATAATCTACCAGAGTAATATATACCAGAGTCACTTCCAATCATGTCACTTCAGTGGACTGATTTAATCTGTATTTAATTATATAGCTTAATTTATAATAAATTTATACTTATTTTATTTGTATCTTTAGCTATTACGCAGTTATGGTGGCACCTCAGTTTTGAGATAGCAAATAGTTTTGAGTATATGCCTATAGTTTCAGCACTGTGGGAGGCTAAAGCTGGAGATCACCTGGCCTCGGCAACTTAGTGAGATCTTGTCTCAAAATAAAAAATTAAAAAAGGCTTGGGTATATAGCTCAGTACAAAGGTCCTAGCTCAAGCCCCAGTAATACACATGTATACACATACCACACACAGATTTGATTAAAAAGTTCAGTATTAGAATTCATGACGGAATAAATACTGCTTTAAAAGGAAGACAACTTTTTTTTTTGTGGTGGTGCTAGAGATTGAACTTGAGCCATCACAGTGAGCTAAATCCTCAGACTCCCTCTTTCCTCTTTTAATTCTGAGGCAGGCTCTTACTAAATTGTCCCGGTTGATCTCAGACTTGGTATCCTCGTGCTTTAGCCTCATAGAGTGCTGAGATGCCCAGCTAGGAAAGATGATGTTTACTAAAGAACTGGGAGCAGTCAACGTGTCCCGAGGTTTAAATTATCCAACTTTCGACATCAGGGGATTGAAAACTGGACTGGCCAGGCATGGTGCACATGCCTGTAATACCACCACTCAGAAGGCTTGAGGCAGGAGTGCAAAGAGTTCAAGACTAGCGTGAACTACATAGCTGGACCGTGTCTCAAAGAACCAAAACACAACCAACTAAAATCGAAACAATACAAACAAAAACTCAAAAGGGATCCACGCCTCACCTCCCCACAATAAAAACTGTATAACCCTATAAGACTGAGTTTGACATTACCTACCTAAATAGTTTTGGAGGTAAGATACTAAACCGGGTTTTATCCAAAATCTTCCTGATTTTGTTTCTTCCACCTGAAACAGTATTTGCTTTAACTTTCTTATGTCCTTTCTCCTGTGATGTCTGTTCAAGATCTCCTGGTACATCTTGGATTGAATGACGATTACTTTTTTTTTCAGCAATTTTGGGAATATGAGGGACACCAGATTTCTCTTGTTCGGTCCTACTGAGCAACTCTTTGAACACTGTGAAAATAAATAAATAAATTTATCAGTTCTTCTCACTAGAAAATTTTAACATCAAATTTTAAGGATAAACACAATCTATTTCTATTATTTGGCTTTTTGTAGTCCTAGTCACATCAACATGATCAAACTTATACCCATCCTTTATCTATCAGTTATATCTACTCTTCAGTTTTTCTACCAGACTATACTTATGATGTTATTCAACAGTTACTCCAAGTACAAAGAATGATCTTATTTTTTGTTTTAGGAATAAAAGAAAGCAAGTGTTTTTCACAGACTCAAAGACAAGTGAGATTGAAATGAACTAAGCCTTAAGAACAAGTCATAATATTAATAGCCTGGTATTCAGTTGTAAAATCTGTATTGTTTTGAGGGTTTCTTTTTCTTTACAATTAACACATTTACTGTATATATAAGTGGGATTTGGTGTGGTACTTCCATACGTACACACAGCATGCATTCACTGCATCTAACCACTCCTTCCCCAATGTCTTGCTGTCTCCTACTCTTGCCCTCACCCCACTTCTGGTCCCTAGTAATCACTACTTTCAGGTCGATTTCTTTTTTTTTGTTTCCACAAATCACAACGTACTTATCTTTCTATGTTTGGCTTATTTTCCTTAACAAGATGTCCTTCAATTTTATCTATTTTGCTGCAAATAACAGAATTTCTCTTTATGGCTGAATAATACTCCATTGTGTATATGAGCCCTATTTTCTTTATCCATTCATTCACTGATGGATAGTGAAGAGTGCTACAATAAACACAGGCATTTGGGTGTCTCTTTTATATGCGGATTTCATTTTCTTTGGATATACACCCAAGATATATACTCAAGAGTGAGTAGCTGGATATATACTCAAGATATATACTGAGTGAGTATATATTTGGATATATACTCAAGCGTGAGTAGCTGGATCACACTGTAGTCCTAACTTTAGCGTTTGTTTGTTTCTTGAGATTTCATCTCACTATATAGTCCAGGTTGGCCTTGAACTCACTAGATAGCCTTTGCTGGCCTTGAAAGCTGAGTGATCCTACTGCCTCAGCTTCGTGAGTGCTAGAATTTGTGCCATAGTTCCCAGCTTCAGTTTTAAGGTTTTTGGGGAACCTCCTCAATGTTCTTCACAGTAGCTATACTAATTTACATGACCAACAACAGTATGTAAGACTTCCTTTTTCTCCATATCCTCGTCAGCACTTACTTTGGTCTTTTTTGAGAACAGCCATTCTAACTGGGGTAAAACTGCTATCTCATTGCAGTTTTGACTTGCATTTCCTTCAGAGCTAGTGATACTGAGTGTTTTACATATATTTATTGGCCACAATCAAAGTACAGTACAAACAGACAAAAAGCACATTTTCTGCCTTCAAAATAATAGAAATATTTAGGAGTCATCTTTCAAAGACCCTTCTTGCTTTAAATTCAGTAAGTTCTTTTAGTGTCTATTTTTAAAGTTTTAAGTCATATGGTAAAGATAAAACTTTATTTTCAAGCTAAAATCAAGACATTCATCCATCCACGAAATATTTACTGACCTATATGTCAGTGCACTACACTACTTTTTTGCACATTTCTCTAGTTGTGGAACTTATACTGTCAGTCTAAGATTCCCGTTACAGAGAGAGCCTTTTGGGGGAACACAAGACAGTAAGAAGGAGCAACCTTCCTTAAGTAAATCACTTTGTAGGAAAAGAAAAGACTTTGACTAGGCAAAGGGGAGAGGCAAGGAATCCTTCTAGGTAGAGAAAAATCTCAAGTTCAGTCCCTGTGGTAGAAGAAAAGCTCCAGAAAATGAAAATGAGTAGAGAACAAGGTAGAGAAGTCTGTATCGATAACAGTCTGTATCGTCACTGGACCTGTGCATATAATTATAAGTAAAAGTTAGAGGAGTTTATAATTTGTAGATGAAGAGGAGATACAACTTGTTAAATTTTTTAAGTGTTAAAGAAAAAAAGGATGGGCTGGGGATTTAGCTCAGTGGCACAGCGCCTGCCTGGCAAGCGCGAGTTTGTGAGTTCGATTCCTGGTACCGGAAAAAAACAACAACAACAAAAAACCCAGAAAAAAAGGATGGAGGGTAATGTACTTACCATGCTATTAAACAGCCATAGCAGACTTTACAAATATTTCAGAAATGAAGGTGTACAAGAATTCACAAAATTTTTAACTATTTGGCTACATGAAAATTAAAAACATCTCTCTCTACATGTGTGTGTACACACAGAAAATAAAGCAGCAAAAATACCAACTTGATAGGTAAAAGTCTCAAAGACACAGGGGTAGGCAGAGAGTTCATGAACAAAAACCAAACTGCACAGGAAATACTTCAAAGAATTAACGGTTGGGATCTCATCTTACTGAAAAGTTTCTGCACATCAAAAGAAATCACCAACAGAGTAAAAACAAAACCCACGAATTGAGAAAAAATTTTAGCCAACTGCCCCTCAGACAAAGGACTTCTATGTAGAACATATAAAGAATTTTAAAAAAATCAGGCCCCCCAAATTTAAAGACCCAATCCAAAAATAGGCATCTGAGATGAATATGCACTTCTTAGAGGAAGAAATGGCAATGGCAAATAAATATCTGAAAAAATGTTCAACATCATTAGTCATTCGAGAAATGCAAATTAAAACAACACTGAGATTCCATCTCACCCCACAAAGAATGGCTATCATTAAGAAATCAACCAATGACAAATGCTGGGGAGGCTGTGGGGGAAAAGGGAACCCTACTCCACCACTGGCGGGAGTGCAGACTGGTGAAACCACTGTGGAAATCAGTTTGCAGAGTCCTCACAAAACTAGGATTAGAAGTCCCACTTACCCCAGCTATTCCCATTCTGGGTATTTTTCCACAAGAATTCAATGATATATATGCACCCATGTTTACAGCAGCACAATTAGTCATAGTTAAATCTTGGAAACAACCCAACTGCCCATCAACTGAGGAATGGATAAAAAAGATGTGATATTTTTATACAATGGGGTATTACTCAGCTATAAAAAAAGATAAACCCAAGGCTTTTATAGGTAAATGGATGCAACCAGAGAGCATACTCGTAAGTGAAATAAATCAGACCCACGTGTGTAAGCATATTGTCTCCCTAGTCTAAGAACATGAAAGAGAAAATAAAACCCAAAATGTACACTATGAAAGGGAAACAAATTGCTCAAAGGAAGCAACAACTGGGATGAGGGAAAGAAGAAAAGGCAAGTACTAAAGTCTGTTTTATATATAGATAGATAGCTAATTCATGATAGCTGATGTCTGGTGGTTTATTGAGGGGAACAGCTAATAAATTTTTTTTTTTAATACTTTGACCAATTTTGCATGCTTATATCTGGTAATCTGAAAAACTTTTGTGAAGACAACAATTTGTGGTATAACAATCATTGGTGAATTCCTAGAATCCTGTCTAGTGAAACTATGTCTTATCTTTAATGTTCTTTTAAGTTATCATTTTCTATTTCCCTTTAATGATTTGATCAATCTATTCTTACATCTGATAATCTGAGCAACTTTGTTGAAGATAACAATATGCAATATAACAACCACTGTTAATCTCTATCACTTGGCTTGAAACACCGTTTCATTTTTAATGTCCTTGCTTTGTTTGTATTTTGCTATTCTTTTTTTTCTATTCTCTTTAAAATAAAATAGAAAAAATGAAAAAAATATGAAAAAAATACCAACTTAAGGAAAATATCTACAACCTTTTAAACAAAAAGATACTGTCCTTTATTTACAAGGTGCTAAAACAAATCAGAAAAAGATAAATTACTCAATACAAAAATGGACATATTGAAAGACTTTAGAGAAATGTCAAAGCACACACACAAGGTGCTCAACCTCAGTCATAATTAAAGAATGTACATCAATAAAGTTGATTAATGCACTGCAGAGGGATTGTTACCACTTGATAATGGAATGGAGATTGGGATAAAAAAATAAATCCTTGTAGAACCTGTCAAAAGTGATTCCATTTTGAGAAATTTATCTTACAGATATATTCATATAAGCATAAAAGTACAAAAGATTTCTATTATGTAATTGTTAACTGTGAAAACTAAATAATTTAAAATGTCCACCAATAGGACATGGCTCAATAAATAAGGCACAGAAGCAGATAAATCTGCAGGAACTGATGTGAAAGGTACAGAAGGGGGTATATGGCATGGTCCCATTGTGTGTCTTTCCTCAGTATTTTAACTTTCAAAATGTATGCATGTTACTCTTATTTAAAATGATGATAACTTATCTGAGTGGGATGTTTGTTAGAAGGTGTCACAAAGTTGTGAAATGAACAGGAATCTAAAATTCCAGAGCAGGAAAAGGGTACATTTTCTTCTTCAGGGGCATTTGCTGAATTTAAACATGAGGTGAGGCTCAGGCAGAGCAAAGAGGGGAAAGAATACTTTGGATGGTTGTTAGGATTGGGATAAAAAGTAGGATTCAGAGTTGCTCAAAAGCAGCAACATTTTCCTCCATGGGACATCTGTTAGTGAGGTAATGGAAAAAGCTGCGGACTAGCTAGGAATTTCTTACAATCTTAATGCACTTAGAGACAAAGTCATACAACAGGGAGAGGCTTGCAATTACTACATGGCAGAGTTATCCCTCAACCTGCCTGGGGTGAGGGTTAAAGAGCTAAGCTCAAAATGGAGGCTAGAACTTACAAAACAGAAGAGATAGAAACCTACCAGACTCTGAAGCCAAATACATTCCTTAGGCAGAGACTAGGGGATGAGAATAGGAAGAAAAAGCTAAAAAGGAAAAGTGAAATTCCTACAATCTCCTGGTACTGGACGACAAAATCCACCAAAGAAGGGCCTGCATCAAGCAAGTCATTAAGTCTTGCTCTTAACTTCAAACTACTAAATATAGTATAGTAATTCTGTAGTCCAGCCTGACCCAGTTCAATTCCCGCATCCTGTCTGCTTAAATAAAGGAAACAGCAAATACTGAGAAAGTATTCTCATCTTCTCTAAG